GGGCGGCCCCGGGGCGGGCGGGCCGGGCGGCTGGCGGGGGGCAGGTCTGCCTGAGGGGGCTCTGGGGTTTGCAGCGTGCGGGGAAAATGTCCTTTTGAAACGCTGGGGTTTCGGTATTTCTTTGGTGTTTTCTGCGCTGCTCTCGCTCTGCTCACGGCCAGCCGCGGCCCGTGTCTCCTGGCTGTCAGCCGCGCGGTGCTTTTGCCGTAGATTGTAATTTGCGGGCTGTCGTGGAGCCCCCGGGCTGCTCTGGGGCTGTGGGGGGGGAGTGACCTTCACTGGGCGAGCTGTCAAAACAAAAGAAGTCACTGGAGAACCTTTAAGGCACTTTTTCTGTCCAGGTGAAGTCCATACCTGATGTTTACGCAATACATAATGCGTCTGTCTGCGCGTACTTATGCGGGGATTAACTGTGACAGGAGTGAGACCTGTCTGAGTGTGGGGGGTCTGTGTTAACCCCCCTGCTCCCGTGCTCCCCAAAAGCTGAGGGGTCAGGGTTATGCTGCCCGTGTGGCCTGTGTTCCCCAGGCTGCTGCCTCAGTAGGATAAAGCTCACAACACGACTGCACTGCTCGGCTTTTCAGTGACTTTTCAGCTCTCAAGATTGTTTTGTCTGAATCCCTTTTTTCCTTTTCAAAAGCTGATCCTGAAATCAACGTATCTCCCTGCATATTCCTAGGCTGTTGCCACTGCCCCTGTACCAGGTAACTCTATTTATATTTTATCGTAAGTGACCTGAGGAATAATTTTCTGTTTCTTTTAGCTATCTCAGTGTTAATTGCTTTATGGAAAAAAAAATGATGTGAAATGTTTATATATATGTAAAAATATATTTACAAACAGTTCTATAACCGGAAAGGGAGAAAAAACCTGCTTAAGAACGTATTTGAAAGTGTTACAGCTGACAGTATAACTTCAAAGTCTCTTGAAAACCCGGCATGGTAACAGATGTGTTTAAGGATGCATTCTTGATTATTTACAGTTGAAGAAATGTTTTTGGGATTGCAGTGTGTCTATGGAGATAGTTATGGAGTGTGGACCAATTTAAACTGGAGAGTTGCTTTTTAGGAGTAATGCCCGAATTCTGTAACTGCTGCTTAGTGGGCTCTGCCTTGGCATTTGGTGAACTTTGGCTTCAGCCTTAACAACTTTGACTTCCTAATGCTTTTCATACTTGCCTCTCAGATTCCCAGCTTCCACCCACTTATCTCCTGGTCGTCATCCACATGATCCCATGCAGACCAGACAGCTCTCTGCAGCAGCCTCCACTCCTACCAAATACTAACTAGGTTTAATCAGCAGGAGGTTTAGGTGGCAGCTTCCCTGACGTTGAGCACTCACAGGGCTTGAGTTGTTGAAGCTTTCCCAGCTCAATCAAGTGCTTTTAATTTTGTACCTGTGGCTATAGAGCACCCAGATTTTTTATTTCTTTCCAGGTGCTAAGTAGGTTCATAGCTTTTTCTTTCACTTTTTTTAGCTTAGTTACTAGTCTTACAGATAAAGGTAGTTTTATGCTGTGATATCAGCAAGTTGGTAATGCAGCATAACGTGCCTGAGTGTACCGGGCAGCAGCATCTTCATCTGCACTAGTTATTTAACCTTCTCTCTCTCTTGTCTCCAGCGATGGCAGCTTCCAGCAGCAGCAGCGAGGAGGAGCGTAGTCTTCGGGAATGTGAACTTTACGTCCAAAAACATAACATCCAGCAGCTTCTGAAGGATTGCATTGTACAGCTGTGCACAGTGAGACCTGAAAGACCCATGGGATTCCTCAGAGAATACTTTGAAAGATTGGAGAAGGTAAAAATACAATTAAAAAAAGAAAGCTGGGCGGGAGGGAGAGTGGAACAACCTAAATTTGTGATTTGTGATTTAGATGCTGAGCTTCAGGTTTGACCAGTGTTCATATTGGGAATTTGAAATTGGAACTGATGCTTTTGGAGAACAAATGTTATTTTCCAGTAGTCAATGCCAGTTGATCATGGTGTAAAAGCAGAACAGAGGGTGACAAGGAGACTTACCCAGCTGGGGTGCAGGTGCAATCCCATCTGATGCTCACAGATAGCACAAACGAGCCTGTCTGTCGTTAGGTGATAACTGTGGTGTTTGACCTTGGTTAGATGCTGGCCATAGGCATTTGGTTTCTTGTACTGAGACAAATAATTTGCAGTAATTCGGGTAGGACACAGAAGTGGTGGCCAGGGGTAGCTGTCCCTGCCTGGCTGAAGGCAAAGGGAGGTATTTGCATTCTGGCTCTCGAGGAGAGTGAGCCTGTTTCTGCCTTCCCTTGGGAGCTGGGTGTTGGTGTTTTGCTTTGTTCTCTTGCGTTTGTCCTCAAGGTCTCTGTGGTGTTTCTGTTGTTGTTGGAAGCATTCTGGGGTCTTGGGAATGGAAAGCATTTTGTCATCTCAGTGCTTGTATTTGAAACTGTGACTTCATATTTTTTTGAACTGTTGGTTTTATATATTGATATTTAAGCAGATAGGAAAAAAAGCTGCTGTGAAAATGGGAGGTTTCAAAGGCTAGTGCAGAGGAAAGGGATGCAGGGACCCTTCAGAGCACAGCATCAGTGAGTAATGGAGCTGTGACCTTGTGCAGCAGTTGTTGGCTGGTGCTGCCTTCAGTGCTGTTTGGATATGGGGAGGTATAGCTTTTTCTTATTTTTTTAATTGTAACTAGTTACTAATTGCTGATGTAAAGAACAAAGAAATTAACGCTAGGGATTGGAAGCATGTTTAGTGGAAGTGTTCAAGGTAGATACTGGACAATGAGCAAATGCTGAAGCGAACCTCCTGTGCTCACAATGGATTTGAAGAACATCTTTCTTCTCAAGTGGACAAGAACTCTACAGTGTGTCTGACTTCGTTTGTGTGGTGGCATCTTGAGCATGTTCTGTCAGAGAACACCAGCAGCCAACCACGTAGTAATCGGGTTCCTAAAAACCCATTGTCCCTCCCCGTTACCGTGCCTCCTTCCTCGCCTTGGATTCTCGAGTTCAAGTACTGGGAGATGGTTTTTAAAATATCACCACAGGTGTCAATATACAAAACTTTATAAAGTAAACTGCATTTAGAATAAATTGTAAACCAATCCATACATAGGAATATAAAATAGGAGCATTTGGATACTTGTGTGTAGTGGATTTACAGTCAACACACAGTATTTAAGATTAAAGGAAATTTAATTTGTTTATAGCAAGACAAGTCTAACTTTTCAATATACTTTCTAAATCTGTTCATTTGTGGATGAAATTGAGGCTGTAATACAATAAAATCTGTTCATTTGTGGATGAAATTGAGGCTATAATATAGTAATTTTTTTTTTAAGACTGACTTCTGAAGGAACAGCATTTAAAACTGAAGCAAGGTTACTATTTTGTCTCTAGTTCTCCTGACAAGTCATCTCTTCCATAGCGCACACACACACAGAGTGATTCACCCTCATGTTATTAAAATACACTGAAGATGTTTAAACACGCTTTTGAGTTTAAGTTCAGAAACATTAAAATTGCTGCCTCTGAGAACGTTGTAGCTGTGCTAAGAATTTAGGTGTCCTCCTCTGAGTTAAGAAAGCTGCTACATGAATCTAATTGCTACAGATGGATTGATTAAATGTTTTTATTTTACTGGTGGTGGTGTGTGGAGGCCTCTGTTCCCTTTGCTGTGTGAACATGTCTGGTGACACCACTGTGTATGAAGAGCTGAGAGCTCTCCTGTGCTGGGCCTGGCTGAGTAATGGAGTTTGAGCAATGGAAATTGAATGAGGAGCTGATTATTGCATCCTGCCAGATGAACCCTGGATATTGGACATGGCTGTCCATGGGAATAACACGTTTGAATTGCTGCCTGTGGTGCAGTTACGTGCGTATTAGGCTTCACAGAAAGCTGGAATTAGGAAGTGTGGCTGCAATCTGGTCACTGTAGCTGTTCTCCACCTGCCCTGAATCCTCAGATACACGTCTCAATAGTTGCTTGTTTCCTCAGTGTTCCTTTTGCAAAGCGTGGTGGGTAAGAAGGATATACTCTGCAGTTGGGAATTTATGGCAGAGTGTTTACGCTGCTTTTTTAGTTTGTGTGGGTTTTTTTTAATATGTAGGGAGCTGATAGAAATTAGATACAAATGAACCTGAAGAAGTTGAGACTGTTTTGGTGTAATGACAATTACCAGATACCAGACTACATAGTGTAAAACATAATTCTGAAATTGCAAAGGTCATCTTCAGTAGCTGATAGACTCACGACTTTAATGTTTCTTACTTGTAATAATTGTAATGGAATGAATAACTATGTCTTACTTGTAATGAAAAATGAAACTTACAGTTAGTGGTCCCTGACACTGAAAACTGCTCCATCAGCTGGAAGACCAGCACCAACACTGTGATGTAATAAATAGGGTAGATTTTAGTGACCAACTCTTAAAATCCACATATTGGTTATATTGATCACTACAGAGCAAAATTAACGCCTTTGTCCATTTTGTATGTAATTTGAGGAGCTTTTACACCTGAACAAATTCATTTTCTCATTCAGAAGCACTGAGTAGATTCTAAGGTAACTGAGAGGAACAGCTGCTACTCCTTTTCAGAGCTTAGTGTAATTTATCACTTAGCTGCGGGTGTAATATATGTGGCTTAATATCAGAACTGATATAAGATGTATTTTTAAAAGATGAATATGTGAAATTCTGTGAAAACAGTGAGATTTTAGCATGTCACTGACTCCATGGGTTGCCTTGGGATTTGTGATGGGAGTGTGTGGGCTTCTGTCTGGTTTGGGGGTAAATCAATGTCGTATCTAACCCACCTCTAACTTGTTTCTATGGCTGCACTCGACCTTAATGTACTTCTGCCTGATCTGAGATTTATCATTAATGTATTAAAAGAAGTTACCAGTTGTATTTTTCCGATGAGTGCAGTTTCCTCGAGCGGACCATTACCTTGGTGAGTCTCTGGTTGAGCAGCGCTTTGAAGGCAGCTCCCCTGCTGAAGGCTGCTGCAGTGTGTCTGTCCATAAAGTCTCAGGGTCTCGGGATTTCATGTGATAGTGAAAAAAACAAACACAGCAGCTGCTGTTCGCTTATTTCAAAAGTGTCAAGGTTTTTTAATGGGTTAAATATTCTGTCTCTGAACAGCGTGTTTCTGCTGTTGCTGCTGTTTCCCACTTTTTAGAGAGGCAGTTTAAACCCAACACTCAGTACTGCCCAAGCTGGTTTTAAAATGATTGCAGCTGAGACTTGTTTCTCTAAAATCAGAAGGTAGAAACACAGTTTTAAATATGCTTTGCTCCCATCGTTTTGAAATGTAGCACTATTTTATCAATGGGCAAAAGGCAGGAAGTGAAATGTAATTCCACGGCTCGGTGCTTGCTCTTTGGCTGTGTGAGAGGTGTAAAATGTAAACTGATGTCCCTCTCCTCAGAAGGTGGTGTCACACACAGCCTCTGTGCACCTCCGGAGTGCAGCCTGGCAGCCACGCAGAGCTGCCCAGCTGGGCCAGGGACACTTTCCTCAAGGACACTGGGACAAACCCAGCTTTTAAAAAGTGCTGGGAGCTCTCAGGGAACAGACGACTCCTTGTTCTTTTAAGGCACGTCCCAAACCCCCGTTTCCCTGACACTGGGAGAAAGTTATTTGATCTCTTACGATGCAAATGCTTTGGCTCCGAGGTCAGCTTTTTTGTTTTGTTTTTAATATGATTTTCATTGGTTTAGGGAAATCATCTGGTACATGGAAGAATCAAATTTCTGTGTGTCAAACTAGTTAGGCTTCATTTTATTGTAAGTACACTAGTCTTCTACAGTATCACCAGGACACAGCACAACAGGTAACCGAGGGAAATAAGGAAACTGTGTAACTTTGTGCAAAGTTGACAAATCTGTGGCTTGGGAGGAAAGCCCCATCTGTTTGGCCTCCAGCATCCTTCCTGCAGCTCCTCTGGAAGCGGTGTTCCTATTTCTTTCTCCTAAAATAACTCCTGGTTATGGAGTATCGAGTTGGTCCATGACTTGACCTTGTTTCAAAAGCTTCTCATGTAACATGGATTTCTGAGGAATTGCTCTTCTCCCTTTCAAATCAAAAAAGGCTTAACGCCTCCTGGCCGAGGGACAGAGCTGCTGGCTTTATGCTTGGGGAAATGTATTTATCGTTTGCAGAATTTCTTCATTGCCTGGTGAATATACTAGCGGAAAGTAGAATCAATTTGTTTATATTTTTTAATTTATTAAGCTGTTAGTGTAGCTTATTAAAATAAACAGCATTGTGATGTGAATGTTATGAATGAAAGGCATATCTGCCATCTGTTTCCAAAGGCCTTTGATCTCGGTTGCTCCAGTCTCCTGTTTGCCTTAATGTGGGAGTATTAGTACACAGGAAGCACCCTTGCACTGGCAGACTAAATTGTAATATAATATGTAATGGCTTTTTGCTTTACTGGATTATGTGACACAAACATGTCTTCCTTCCTGTTTAGGAGGAAACAAAGCAGTTGTTGAATCAACAGAAGTCTGGTTCGCGCTCAGACTCGCGGGAGGATGAAATCTCTCCTCCTCCTCCTATGAACCCCGTGGTGAAGGGTCGAAGGCGGCGTGGGGCCATCAGTGCAGAAGTCTATACAGAAGAGGATGCTGCATCTTACGTTAGAAAGGTGCTCTAACCTTTAAATGTTGCGAAGAATTGCATCTAGAAGAGTTTGTCAAAGTCCCTCTTTTATCCAGTGTATTAAATAAAACTGAGCTCCTGTAGCCTGTTGTCTTACGCTAACTGTAAAAAGCTGACCTGTGTGTCGAGCTGTTTAATTGGAGGTTAGAGTAAACTGTCACACAGTTAAACTATTTATGCATAACTTAGACCTGTTCCCTTTGAAGTAATATATACATTTACGTATATTTTTATATATTATATATACAAAGTGCTTCCAGTTATTCGACAGCTGTGACAACATTATGTTTAGCCTAATGGCAGAGCAGAACTCGCTGCTGTTCGTAGAAAAATGCAGGTTGAACAGATACTTTTACTCATGCAAGTAAACTTATAAACTTGGCATGGAATGATACTTTTACAGTTGTGTAAAATAATACAAGATTTTATTTACCTTCTGTTTTTAGATCTGTAGTGCTTGAAAGAAACTGGAAAAACTCAGCTAGCGTTTTGTACCAATCAAATGATTTATTTTCCCAGGGAAATGCAGAAATTTTTCTTCAAAAAAATGATTTGTTTACTTTTTCTCATTATATCCTAGGTTATTCCAAAAGATTATAAGACCATGGCTGCTTTGGCAAAAGCAATTGAGAAGAATGTGCTGTTTGCCCATCTTGATGATAATGAAAGAAGGTAGGAATAAATTTTTTGTAGTCCCAAAGTTTCTTGAAGTGCAGCCTTCAGAAGAATTAAATGTGTCATTATGTACAAAGCTGCCCGGCCTTTTCACAAGGGTCAGTGTAACCACACAGAGGTTGTGGGAGAAGCACTGAGGGGCTGGTGGTGCTGGTGAATGAATGTGTAAATGTGTGTGTGGAGGTTTTCCAGGCAGTTGTCTAATTTTGGTGTCCTTTTCTTCAGTGACATCTTTGACGCGATGTTCCCCGTCACTTACATTGCAGGAGAGACTGTCATACAGCAAGGCAAGTGACAATGTTTGAGATGGTGAGCAGATTCTGGCCTAGTGCTCCTGCTAGTTTTGGGTTTTTTTTGGGAGGTGGGGGAAAATAACAAAGGATAAACCAACCAAACGTTGTCTGGATGCGGTGACCCTTTCTTGCTACGTTGCCTGAAGCTCATGCTGAAGTGAGGAGTGGAGCAATTGTAGGAAGATCTGGTTTTGTTGCTCACGTTACCTGTTGTTAAGGCTATCATTTGATGGCCCTGTGGAACACGCTGTGTCACTTCATGGATCCTGTATGCCTTTCCAGTAATCCTGGGAATGCTGCTGATCTCCCACATACCAGTAGATGTCCTCTCTCACAGCACTGAGAGGAGTGTGAAATCAGCAAAATGTGAAATTTCACCCTGTAAGCTGTGAAAAATGTCTTTACCAAACTGATTAGATTCTAAACATGAGTTGGCAGAGATGCCAGTTGTGTGAAAGACGAATGCTTCCATAGCTTTATCCTCTTTTTAGCCCGTACTCAATTTTTTTTTTCTTCTTTAGGTGATGAAGGTGATAACTTCTATGTGGTTGATCAAGGAGAAATGGACGTAAGCATTATTGGTAGTTTATTAATGACATGTTCATCCTGAGCAGAAGCATAGTCTGATATTTTTAGGCCTCTTCTATGGGTCCTTCCTTCAGTAGCTTTTCTCATAACAAGCTTTTACACGCAGTAAATTATTTTGCTTTGGAGCCTCTTGGCTCCTTAATGGCTTAGTCTGGCTGCACGCTGTTGAGTTGTGTTTAGTTTCAAAATTAATGATTTGGACACAAACACAATACTAATGCTCTGCAAGTGCAGGGTGGAGTCTAGCTGAGTTGTGGGACAGACTTTAGGAATGGCCAAACTTTTTGTTTTCCCAGCTAATCCCTAGCTTTCTCTGACAGACTTTGTTGAGATTTTATTTCTTGTCAAAGGGCCTCAGGAGTCCCTGTGTTTAGTCTGTGTGCGTGGGATGGGAGTCCCTTTGTTGAAGACAGTAAAAATTGTGGCTGGCACTGGGGTTGGCTGGTTTTGCAACCCTGAAATGGTCAACTCTGTGCAGATGTGAGAATTCCCTTTACTGTAAGGGAAATGTGGGGTGACAGGAGCTTCGTGTTGTCTCTGAGCAGCTCACAGGGCACCGGGGGCCTTGGCTTATCACCCTGCACTTGCCTTTCAGGTTTATGTGAACAATGAGTGGGCAACCAGCGTTGGTGAGGGGGGAAGCTTTGGAGAACTTGCCCTTATCTATGGGACTCCTCGTGCTGCAACTGTCAAAGCGAAGACGAACGTGAAGTTGTGGGGCATCGACAGAGACAGCTACAGACGCATCCTGATGGCAAGTCTTCTCCTAGCTGGTGTGCCTTGTGCCACTGACTCGAGCAGCTGTGTGCCAACCTGGAATTATGCTTCTGGTTTTACTATTTGGTTAACTTATACTGGTCGTTTGACCTTCTATCTGTGCCTGTCCTTTGCAGGAATGACTGAAAATCTCCCTCTCTCTTTTGTAATCAGAAAGCTGATCACTCAGCATACACTTCTCCGGCGTGGGGCAAGGGGGAGTCTTGTGTTAGTGAGTAAAACAATACCAGTGCAGTCATTAACTGGACTAAAAGTGTCATACCTGCTGGTTGGCTGCTCAGATGTTTTGATTCAGCTCTTTATTTAGCTTGCTGTTTGTAAGTAGCGTGTGAGAGCAGCAGTTGTAACTGACTTGGGCAAGTGGTGTGAATTTTGATCAGGTTAATATAAGAATGAATTTAAGAAACATTAAGGCCACAGTAAATATGAAGTACTTTATGAAGGTCGCTGAACTCTGAAATATTACTGAAATAATTAAATTTCAAAACAGTCTTGTGGCTGTGGGGTCTTACAGAAAGGATGCAGTATGTCTGGTTAAACTTATTTTTGTCTTGAGTTTTATTTGAAGCCTCATGTAAAATGAGAGGTGGAAGGAAAACTGACTCTACTTGTGTTTTTTTTGTTTTTCATAGGGGAGTACTTTGAGAAAGAGAAAGATGTATGAGGAATTCCTTAGTAAAGTATCTATATTGGGTAAGTGAGAAGATTTTTGTTCTGAAGTGGAATAAATTACCATATTGTACTAAAGCTGTTACCCAGCATTATTATTATCTCAGGCTATTGTGGTAATCCCATCAAACTGGCTGCAAAGCTTATCCTGCTTTTCTGCATCATTCCAAAATAATTCTAGTTCAGGTCTTGATATCTGATTGACAAATGCAGCCAGAAATAGGCTGTTTACAGCCATACTCTGCTAATGAGCTCTTAACTCTGTAGAATCTCTGGACAAGTGGGAGCGTCTCACTGTAGCTGACGCGCTGGAACCAGTACAGTTTGAAGATGGGCAAAAGATTGTGGTCCAGGGAGAGCCAGGAGATGAGTTCTTCATTATCTTGGAGGTAAGTAAGGACAAAATGGAAAGCTCAGAACTTTACCACTTTCTTTTTGTTTTTTGTTTTTTTTAATGTGGTTTATGCCCCTAAATAGGCACTTGGAGAAAAATGAAATGTAAGAATATACTTGTAGAGAATTCCTAAAGAAGTATGATCTTGCTGGACATGGAGAAGCTTATATTTAGTTTTGCTATTTTTACAAATAGCAAAACTATTTGTAAATACTTTTTTTCCCAGGAAAAAAGTAACTAGTTTCTGGCTGAAACCAGTTTATCTTTCTCAGAAGAGGAGAGACCTGTTTTAGATAGACAGCTATCTATTCTAGCTAAATAGCTGTCTTGCTGGTGTTATCATTATCTTCTGTGTTTTTTGGTGATGAGTTAGTTGGGTTTTTTTTCTAGTCATTCTTACTCTAAGGGAAGACAGAAAGAAATCAGTGCTGCAGATACATAAATGCCCAAGACATGTTATGCTTAGGGAGCAGGAAGGACCTGCTGTTCTATGGAGCAGTCTGGTGAATTGTGCAGGGACTGGGAAGTGGCTTTTGCCTGAGACATCGGAACAGTCCTTTCTGGAAGCAGCTGGTTCTGTGTGGAATTCAATGTTTCAAGTGGTGCTGGAAACTCCAATTGTTTAATTGCTGTCATTTATTAAAGGGCACAGCTGCAGTGTTACAGCGTCGATCAGAAAACGAAGAATTTGTTGAAGTGGGCAGACTGGCACCTTCTGATTATTTTGGTGAGTTACTTAGTGACAACTACGATTACACAAACCACTGTCACCATTTTACCTGGGCTGTGTGGATGACTGCTGAGGATGATAGTCATGGGATGGATCTGTTAATAAGTGTTTTGGCTAAGTTCTGTGGTTTCACTCAATGTCGGGTGAGTATGGGAGTTGGTGGGCATTCAGGTGTGTGTGCATGTCCAGATACGTGATCCTTCCAGAGTACTTTTAATTTAGGAGGGGCCTGGTGGTGATTTGATCTGACCTTCCTACCCTGAGCAGGGCTGGCTTTGAAATTGCATCATACTGCTCAGGGCTGTGTCCAGTGGAGTCTTGTGTGTCTCCAGGGATGGAGATCCCACAACCTCTCTGGGCAATTTTTTCCACTGTTAAACCAGCCTTGTGAGGAATTCTTTTCTTTATGCTTGACAAGAATTTCCTGTTCTGCAACTTGTCCTGTTCTCTCTGCCTTTCACTGTGCAGAGAGCAGTCTAGTTCTGTCTTTATGATCACTCATTATGTAGCTGGAGACAGCAATGAGATCCCCTCTTTAGCCACCTTTTCTCCAGGTCAGACTAACCCAGCTCTTCCGGCCTCTGTCCATCCTGTGCTGCAGCCCCGAAACTGTCCGGGTGGTGCTGCTGGACTCACTCTGCTTTCAGCATCTTGTACTGGGGACCCCAAAACTGTGTGCTACTCGAGGTGTAGTCTCCAAAATGCAGATCAGGGTCTTCTCTCCTGTTGTTGAAGATATACCATGCAACTTTTAGCTAAGTAAGAATATGAGTTGCTTTGGCTTGAAAAAACGTACATGTGCTGGCAAAGGAGGAAGTTAGGATCCTATTATAAATACTTACTTGTGAAGACTTTGAAATAATCTTCACATAGAAAAATCTCTGGTCTAGCACATGTTGATTTACTTTGGATCACAGATGAGGACTGGCCGTGCCTGCTCCCGGAGCGTTCCTGCAGTGTAACGTAACAGGATATAACAAAATATTCCTGGCGGCCTTATTTTGTGCTTAGAAAAAAGTGGCTGGCAGCTCTGAAACAAAGCAAGCAACCTGTTTAGAGCCTACTCTTTAATGTTTAAATATTTCCCCCTAAAAAAATAAAACAACCAAAACCCCAACCAAAACTTAAAAAAACCCAACAAACCCAACCCCCAAACCTAACTTTTCTCATGTTTAAGTAGGTCCTCTCTGTTACCCTTTCAGCCTCTTGCTGAAACCTGGTTGTCTGTTGAGTTTTTCAGCTTTGTAGATGATGTAATCAACAAATCCTGTGTTGCAAGGCCTGAACTGGGATGTCCCTGAGTGCACTGGGTCTGACCAAAGGTCTGCTTAGCTCAGTGTCTAGTACTATTTCATTATTTATTTCCCTTGAAGTCTCTTGAGTTTCCTACTCTTTAACAAAAGGTTATCTCTGTCCCTGTGTTCAGGCACTGCAGACCCATCCCCCAGGGGTTTACCTCTCCCTTAGAACCTACTTATCTCCTGCAGGCCCGTGTTTTGGAGGGTAGTGAGCTCAGGAGTTTTAATTGGACACAGAGGAAAAGTTTTTTTTTTCTTGTTCCTTTTGAACATCCGTTCTGATAATGCAGGCAAATGTATCCTCTGAGGAGCACTGGGTTCTTTGCTCAGTCCTGACCATGGAGATAACCAGCCCCACTGCTTATGAAAACCCACCCAGAAGCTGATGCTGTGGTTTTACTGTTGCTTGTTGGTAGGACTGTTGGGGCAGCTCTTGTCACCAACGGCAACAGGGGCTTGTTGAAAACTTCCTTTCCAAAGCTGTTTAGCAGCTGGGACAGGTATTTGACACAAAGCCTTGGCTGTGTTTGTGGATACCTTAGGAAATGGGGAGCCAGGGGGACTTCCCAATCCTCATCTTCCAGTTCTGGACTTTGACTGGCCGTGCCTCAGAGGCTTCTGGCCTGGCCATTAATGTGTTTTACTTCGATACCAAGGTCACTTTGTCCTGAGTTTCCTAGAAATATCAGAATTGAACAGTAGCATACTTTACATGTTAGAAAAATAACTACCTGTTGACTGGGAAAATGACACAGTTAACTGAAACATGATCTTTTCTCAAATTGAACCAATGTTGAAAATTTTTTAGGCCTGCTTCAGTGAGACTTGAATGCAGACAGGATTTGGATTTAAAAAAAAAAAATCTAGTGTTTTTTTTTTAAACTGCCTTCACAGTTGCTTTTAATATAACTACATAATGCTTGTTCTGATCAGTGTTAAAATCTGAATTACCTTCTGTTCCATTCCTGCAGCAGTTTGCAATACAACAGGGTAATTTCTTCAGCTCTTTTGAACATGGATTTGTAACACTGTGCTTTCCTGTTGCCCTAGGTGAAATAGCCCTGCTGATGAACCGTCCCCGTGCTGCCACAGTTGTGGCTCGTGGCCTGTTGAAATGTGTGAAGCTTGATCGACCCCGGTTCGAGCGTGTCCTGGGTCCGTGCTCCGATATCCTCAAGCGAAACATCCAGCAGTACAACAGTTTTGTATCGCTGTCTGTCTGAAACCTTCCTCCCTCTCCCAAACCTGCTTCACGAATGCAGACTGCTTTATTACCCTTGTGCAGAGCCACATTGCCACTGGCATTTGCAGCTTCCTGTCTGTTTAAAAAAAAAAAAGAAAAAAAAAAAATTGCTTATCATGGCACTATTTTTAATTTAGAGCATATTAGTTCTGTGCTCTCTGTCCCATTAAATGAATAGAAAAAGGTCTATGGAGACGTTTGCTGTTACGGCTTCTCTCTGTGCAATGTCCAACTCGGGCCAAGGCAGCCTTGCTTCGGGGCGTGAAGATGGGCAAAAGATTGTGGTCCAGGGAGAGCCAGGAGATGAGTTCTTCATTATCTTGGAGGTAAGTAAGGACAAAATGGAAAGCTCAGAACTTTACCACTTTCTTTTTGTTTTTTGTTTTTTTTAATGTGGTTTATGCCCCTAAATAGGCACTTGGAGAAAAATGAAATGTAAGAATATACTTGTAGAGAATTCCTAAAGAAGTATGATCTTGCTGGACATGGAGAAGCTTATATTTAGTTTTGCTATTTTTACAAATAGCAAAACTATTTGTAAATACTTTTTTTCCCAGGAAAAAAGTAACTAGTTTCTGGCTGAAACCAGTTTATCTTTCTCAGAAGAGGAGAGACCTGTTTTAGATAGACAGCTATCTATTCTAGCTAAATAGCTGTCTTGCTGGTGTTATCATTATCTTCTGTGTTTTTTGGTGATGAGTTAGTTGGGTTTTTTTTCTAGTCATTCTTACTCTAAGGGAAGACAGAAAGAAATCAGTGCTGCAGATACATAAATGCCCAAGACATGTTATGCTTAGGGAGCAGGAAGGACCTGCTGTTCTATGGAGCAGTCTGGTGAATTGTGCAGGGACTGGGAAGTGGCTTTTGCCTGAGACATCGGAACAGTCCTTTCTGGAAGCAGCTGGTTCTGTGTGGAATTCAATGTTTCAAGTGGTGCTGGAAACTCCAATTGTTTAATTGCTGTCATTTATTAAAGGGCACAGCTGCAGTGTTACAGCGTCGATCAGAAAACGAAGAATTTGTTGAAGTGGGCAGACTGGCACCTTCTGATTATTTTGGTGAGTTACTTAGTGACAACTACGATTACACAAACCACTGTCACCATTTTACCTGGGCTGTGTGGATGACTGCTGAGGATGATAGTCATGGGATGGATCTGTTAATAAGTGTTTTGGCTAAGTTCTGTGGTTTCACTCAATGTCGGGTGAGTATGGGAGTTGGTGGGCATTCAGGTGTGTGTGCATGTCCAGATACGTGATCCTTCCAGAGTACTTTTAATTTAGGAGGGGCCTGGTGGTGATTTGATCTGACCTTCCTACCCTGAGCAGGGCTGGCTTTGAAATTGCATCATACTGCTCAGGGCTGTGTCCAGTGGAGTCTTGTGTGTCTCCAGGGATGGAGATCCCACAACCTCTCTGGGCAATTTTTTCCACTGTTAAACCAGCCTTGTGAGGAATTCTTTTCTTTATGCTTGACAAGAATTTCCTGTTCTGCAACTTGTCCTGGTCTCTCTGCCTTTCACTGTGCAGAGAGCAGTCTAGTTCTGTCTTTATGATCACTCATTATGTAGCTGGAGACAGCAATGAGATCCCCTCTTTAGCCACCTTTTCTCCAGGTCAGACTAACCCAGCTCTTCCAGCTTCTCTCTGTCCATCCTGTGCTGCAGCCCCGTTAACCGTCCGGGTGGTGCTGCTGGACTCTGCTTTGAGCATCTTGTACTGGGGACCCCAAAACTGTGTGCTACTCGAGGTGTAGTCTCCAAAATGCAGATCAGGGTCTTCTCTCCTGTTGTTGAAGATATACCATGCAACTTTTAGCTAAGTAAGAATATGAGTTGCTTTGGCTTGAAAAAACGTACATGTGCTGGCAAAGGAGGAAGTTAGGATCCTATTATAAATACTTACTTGTGAAGACTTTGAAATAATCTTCACATAGAAAAATCTCTGGTCTAGCACATGTTGATTTACTTTGGATCACAGATGAGGACTGGCCGTGCCTGCTCGCGGAGCGTTCCTGGGGTGTAACGTAACAGGATATAGCAAAATATTCCCGGTGGCCTTATTTTGTGCTTAGAAAAAAGTGGCTGGCAGCTCTGAAACAAAGCAAGCAACCTGTTTAGAGCCTACTCTTTAATGTTTAAATATTTCCCCCTAAAAAAATAAAACAACCAAAACCCCAACCAAAACTTAAAAAAACCCAACAAACCCAACCCCCAAACCTAACTTTTCTCATGTTTAAGTAGGTCCTCTCTGTTACCCTTTCAGCCTCTTGCTGAAACCTGGTTGTCTGTTGAGTTTTTCAGCTTTGTAGATGATGTAATCAACAAATCCTGTGTTGCAAGGCCTGAACTGGGATGTCCCTGAGTGCACTGGGTCTGACCAAAGGTCTGCTTAGCTCAGTGTCTAGTACTATTTCATTATTTATTTCCCTTGAAGTCTCTTGAGTTTCCTACTCTTTAACAAAAGGTTATCTCTGTCCCTGTGTTCAGGCACTGCAGACCCATCCCCCAGGGGTTTACCTCTCCCTTAGAACCTACTTATCTCCTGCAGGCCCGTGTTTTGGAGGGTAGTGAGCTCAGGAGTTTTAATTGGACACAGAGGAAAAGTTTTTTTTTTCTTGTTCCTTTTGAACATCCGTTCTGATAATGCAGGCAAATGTATCCTCTGAGGAGCACTGGGTTCTTTGCTCAGTCCTGACCATGGAGATAACCAGCCCCACTGCTTATGAAAACCCACCCAGAAGCTGATGCTGTGGTTTTACTGTTGCTTGTTGGTAGGACTGTTGGGGCAGCTCTTGTCACCAACGGCAACAGGGGCTTGTTGAAAACTTCCTTTCCAAAGCTGTTTAGCAGCTGGGACAGGTATTTGACACAAAGCCTTGGCTGTGTTTGTGGATACCTTAGGAAATGGGGAGCCAGGGGGACTTCCCAATCCTCATCTTCCAGTTCTGGACTTTGACTGGCCGTGCCTCAGAGGCTTCTGGCCTGGCCATTAATGTGTTTTACTTCGATACCAAGGTCACTTTGTCCTGAGTTTCCTAGAAATATCAGAATTGAACAGTAGCATACTTTACATGTTAGAAAAATAACTACCTGTTGACTGGGAAAATGACACAGTTAACTGAAACATGATCTTTTCTCAAATTGAACCAATGTTGAAAATTTTTTAGGCCTGCTTCAGTGAGACTTGAATGCAGACAGGATTTGGATTTAAAAAAAAAAAATCTAGTGTTTTTTTTTTAAACTGCCTTCACAGTTGCTTTTAATATAACTACATAATACTTGTTCTGATCAGTGTTAAAATCTGAATTACCTTCTGTTCCATTCCTGCAGCAGTTTGCAATACAACAGGGTAATTTCTTCAGCTCTTTTGAACATGGATTTGTAACACTGTGCTTTCCTGTTGCCCTAGGTGAAATAGCCCTGCTGATGAACCGTCCCCGTGCTGCCACAGTTGTGGCTCGTGGCCTGTTGAAATGTGTGAAGCTTGATCGACCCCGGTTCGAGCGTGTCCTGGGTCCGTGCTCCGATATCCTCAAGCGAAACATCCAGCAGTACAACAGTTTTGTATCGCTGTCTGTCTGAAACCTTCCTCCCTCTCCCAAACCTGCTTCACGAATGCAGACTGCTTTATTACCCTTGTGCAGAGCCACATTGCCACTGGCATTTGCAGCTTCCTGTCTGTTTAAAAAAAAAAAAGAAAAAAAAAAAATTGCTTATCATGGCACTATTTTTAATTTAGAGCATATTAGTTCTGTGCTCTCTGTCCCATTAAATGAATAGAAAAAGGTCTATGGAGACGTTTGCTGTTACGGCTTCTCTCTGTGCAATGTCCAACTCGGGCCAAGGCAGCCTTGCTTCGGGGCGAGATCTCACACCACGCCGATTGCCACAAAATAAGGAGGTGACAGTAGAGGGAGGGGGGAAATTTTTTTTTAAAAGGTGTTTCTCAAATTATTGGTCGGATTTTAAGGCTGTGGTCATAATCTGCTGTATTTCTTTTTCAAATGAGAGCTGCCCTTGTAATTGAGCTTCTTGGGGCTTGGGGTTTTCTTTTTTTGTTGTCGTTAATTTTCTGGGTACTGTAATCCTGGGTTCAATCGTGAGGCATCAGCTGCTAAGAAAGCCACAGTTGGAATTTAACAGTATAATTGTTCCTGTGTCTGCTGGTTTAAGGTTGCTTAGTTATGTTTTTGTCAAGTGTAAATCAAAGCTTTCAAGGTTGCTAGTTCTGGTGAGCTCCTGCAGTTGTTACTTCATTTGCTGACTTGCCGCAACTAATTATTTTTTCTTGTTCTTTCTTCAGTGATAGATATGCCATTTCAAACTCTTCCTGTTCAAAGTGGCAAGAACCAAATGTGACATTAAATGGCTAATGTTGATCACTAGTAGGTAGATGGGTGTAAGGATGTGCAGCTCTCCAGCTGTCAGTCTTGTTCAAGTACTTAGATTGGTGTAGAAGTTGGAAGCAAACGTTTGATTTTTCCCTGTGACTCTTGCTTGCTTTGTGCTCCTCAGTTGATTTTTTTCTTTTTTTTTATAAAAAACAACCCCACATCAGTTCAGGTGACCCTTTGCTACCAGGGAAAATAAACACTGAGTATTCCCGGCCAGCATGAGGGGCAGGGGCAGGACTGCTGGTCTGTGCAGATGCCACTGCTCTGGGTGGAGAATGGGAGGCAGAAAAAGTGAATGTTTTGACTTTCCTGCAACACTCAGTTATTTTAAGTTTTTAAATGGGTCAATTTTTAAATTGCTTAATTATAAAGCTAGTTTAAATATAAAAGGTGCATTCTCTTTTCTTGCTTATGGAATTTACATGACACGTATTTCATACTCACTCTTTTTTCCAAGTTCAATATGTTGCGGAGTCTTAAATGTATTTCAGTATTTACCAGCTTTGTGTTCCATTATTCTGTGCGCACCAGTACTTCCCAGAAGTTTTTACTGAATTCCACGGTTCAATAATGGTAGGCAATTTTTAAGGTTTCCTTTAAACTGTAATTTATATCAAGTAGCGTAGGTTTGTATTTGGGAGTGACAGCAAGCAGTCCTGCATTTGTTGTGCAACTACTTCTAAGGATGGAGCCCTCCTTTTATTTCATTTCTGAGGTGATTTGGATTCAAACTGGACACCCTTTGGTATGTCCATGATCTGAAAGAGTCTGCTCGTCGATGCAAAACAATCCTGGGGGTATCAAGCCTTTACAAAAGGCTTCAGGGTATTTCTGAACCTGAAATCCCAACAAGGGGATTTAAAGGCTTGTGGTTTGGGTTCTGTGGTCAGAAGAGGAGTGGAGGATTTCTGCCAGAGTCCTTAAGGAGTCAGCAAATGCTACCTTTTTTTTTTTTTTGGTAAAACTGTTTTCTTAAGTTTTGACTCTATCCAGGTTTTTTCTTCATATGTGTTCTTTGTGTTACTTTAAAGCACCAAAAACTGTGTAAACTAGTTAGAGCTCCACAAAAAAGTGCACATTTTTTTATATAAGGCTTTCTAATCAAGTTTCACTACTGCATCTTTTTAGCTTGCTGTTTACTCCCTTTTGTAGTTTTACCTACAAGATTTTAAGATAAATCAGCTAAGTCTGAGTTAAATATTAATCACAGTTATAGCTTTACCTTTGTGTGCAATTTCAATATGTTTGAAACCACAATTGGCATAGTTTTGCCTTAGCTAACATTCAGGGCTTTAGAAGTAATTTTTTGCTAGTCCACCTTTAGCGAATTTCGGAAGTCTATTGCCCTAGAAAGCTATAGTCAACCAGAGGACCAGTTTTGTATTGTTACCTGACTATATAAGTCTGATTTACTGTATGTGCTAATATATTATATTCCTTTTGTTATAGATTGTCCTAATGGCAGGTAAAGCAATAAAATGATTTAAATTCTTAAATGCAATCAGTCTCTTTTTTTTTTTTCTTCTCTTTTTCCTTCCCCATCCCTGTATGGTCTTTTCCTTTGGCCTTAGAGGATCCGTTATTAACGAGGTGCTAGGAACTAAGAAGCTTAATGGCTCAGCTTTGTGTTAATGGTGTAGGTTTGAGTTCAGTCCCAGCTTCCAGCAGAACCAGAGCTTCTCTGAGTCCTGGCTCTGGGTGAGACCTGAGAAGGTACCTGTGTCCTGCTCGAGTGTCTCAGCAGCTCCTGCTGCTTCGGTGTCTCTCGTTAATGTTGGTAATTCCCAGCCCAGCTGCTATTGCTGGAGCTCATACACTTCTCTGAGTTGTCTGCTCCTGTCCCTTAATGAAAGTTTTGAACATGTGATAATTAATCGTGATGAGTTCTGGTGGACGTACGGTGAGAAATAGAAGAGGGGGATTTTCACACTGTCATGAAGTAGGAAAAAATGTGAAGAGTGGGGACGTGAAGCGGCTCAGACGGGACAGGTTTTGTACCCAGCTCTGAGAGCTGCCACCCAACCCTGAGCTTGCATTGAAAACCTTCCATTCAAAGGAGAATAAAAATAAGAAGAAAGCAACCTCACAGTCCCTGTTAGATTACCTGCTATTTCAATATCTGTGGGTTTGCTTCCTTCATCCTGCACTCCCTTTCCCCCACCCCCTTGGCCAAAGAAAAGGCTGAAAACTTTTTTATTACCTAAAATGAAACTTTAAAACTTCCACTTCCAAGCTCGTAACTTTACTTTTAAACTTATCTTCTGTTGCCATGTTCTTCCTGTTCAAACAGCCGGCAGTAACCATCCCCTCACACTGACAGGAGTCATTTTGGGCTTGTCACGTGTGGAAAACACCAAAGAGTCACCGGCAGAGGGGGATCCAGCTCCGGGAATCCAGCATCTCCCACAGAAATAACGCCGCCCCGGGTGTGCAGAGTGAGTCAAATCCTTTTATTTTCATCTATTCTCTGCCCACAAGATGAAAGGGTCTGTAAGGGACCAGCGCTGGGAGTTGGGATTGATTGAGGCTACCCCAAACCTTGCTTTTGTGAAAGCTGGAGGTGGAAGGATGTGGCTGAATCACCCTCGGGAGAGGCTGAAGGAGCGTGGTGTGGGTTGGTTTTCTTGGTTGGGTGCGTGTGGGGGGGTATTTTGTTAACCTTTGTGGCTTCGGAGTATTGGAACAACCTCTTTGAGGAAAACCACTCCAAACTTCCTCAAACATTCACATGAATAGAACAGGCACCTGTGGGGACACACTCAGAATCCCAAGGGCAGCCTCTCCTGTGGCTCTGCAGCGTGGGGACGGGTGACTTGTGGAGTTACTGTGGAGCTGAATTAGGGTCAGTGCAGTCCCCTCTGGAGAACAGTAGTGGTGGCCAAGTGAGCTTTGTTCCCTCCTTGTGTGATCCAGGCACTTGCTGCCGGTGTCACCCAGTTCCCTCTCAGTTGGGCACAATTCCAGCCCAGGAGCAGAGGAGCCAGGGGAAGGTGCAGCGTGTCGAGAACCTGTCAACAGCTGCTGGGGCTTCAGGACTCTCCTCTGCTGCAGTGCTGGAGGTGGCTCTTTTGTTTAACTTAAAGGTTAGTTTACAATAAGCTTTAGTAGTTTGGCTGTGGGTTTTCTTTATTATTTTTTTCCCCTTAAGAATGATAAATTATCAACAAAGTCCTGAACTGCTTTCCCTGTGCTGCCAAGAAGCTCAGTGCAGTCGTTCTTCAACGGTTAAAGGAAAAAGCTTTTAGAGAGCTCCAGTAATCGAGTTGTCTTGAGCTTTGTGGTTGGGAGGCAAAGGGAAAATGACACATTAAAAGATCTAAGATAACAACCCCCCAGCTCGATCTTTGGTTTCCAGTTCCTATTGCTCAAAACGCACGGAGCTGGGGGCCAGGGAACCGTTTCTGTCTTGCAGGGAATTCTGCCAACTTCAGTGATTGTGAAGCTCTGAGAAAAGGACCTGAGAGAGACCTCCCTACGTTGGCAAAATGTTTGCACCGGAATTGGGTGGCTTCTTGATTTGGAATACACAATTTGGGGTTTTCTCTCTTAACCCAGACAGGCTCTTCAGCTCACAGGCAGGTAAAAGCACAAGTGGTTTCAGTGCCCTGTGAGGCAGGGGGCTTTTCAACAACACGCACAGGTGGAAGTGGGGCAGGTTGGTCACTGTGGAAGAGCTCGGGGTGATGGACACCCCTGATGGTGAATGCTGGGCAGATGCTCTTCAGTCTCACCACGCTGTCACCAGGCTCTCCTGGCTCGGTGGTGGGTACTGTCCTTGTGCAACAGGATGGCTTTTTTCTCAAATACATGGTACTGGTAACAGAACAGAGACTTAATAAGAGGAAAAGGGTCTTGACATCTCTTTATTCAAGCCTCATCTCTGGGTCTAGTTTGTGCCCTTCACTCTCGAGGCTGAGACCCTGTGTGGGTTGAGCAAACCAATGGCCACACGTTCCCCCACCCTCCCAAGGGCCAACCTCAGATCTCTGCTTTTCCCCCAGAGAGCTGGAATTTGGGGTGTACAGCTCTGCTGCACTCAGACCCCAACTTACCAACACACTGGCCGAGCGCAGCAGCTTTGGTTGAGTACCTGGCATAGACACCAGTGTGGTTCTGGAAGATCTGAAGATTTTTTTCCCTCTCAGTCTCTGCAGCAGTTTGTAGATGGAATTGACCAGCTTTTAAACTCGCTGCTTGGCTTGGGGGGGTTCTCCCGACCTCCCAGGGGGAGATGGGAGTGTTTAGGTGGTTGGCTTTACTCTGTCAGACACAGGAGCCTCGGGCTGTGTGGTGTCGTTGGCCACCACCTTGGCCTCTCCGTGGGTGTCTATGCAGTTCCTCACAGCTTCCAGGACCAGCTGTAACCGTCTGTCCAAAGCCAGGAGATGGGGCTCGGTGAGGACGGGTGCCAGGGGGTCCTGCAGCAGGGACTCCCTCATCACATCGCTGAGCAGGTACTCGGGCTCGGCCAAGAGCTGGAGGCGTAACAACGTCGTCCTCTTTATTCTGGAAAAAAAACAGAAATTGGGCATCTTAGTGCAGACTTCTTGTGGTATCTTTGCAAGAACCAGCTGTGTGAGCCCCTTGGTGGGAGGGGAGGAGGGAGGGCAAGGAGGGGTGAAGATATTTGACAAAACTTTGGGAACAAAAGCTTTCTCTTTCTGAAGGAAATGAGTATTTTCTGCAGAAACCTCTGCTTCTTCCTTTGTTTTTCCAGACTGCAGAGTATTTATACTGCAGGTTTCTGTCACCAGAGAGAAAACCGTGATAGAAATTCTCAGTAATGAGGGTTTTTCCTCTGAGTCAGGGGTGACCCAGTTCCCCAGATTCCTGCAGGGTGGTGCCATGTTCCAAGGACGACATTTATGGGATGGGGGCAGAGGGGGAGGTAAAATGAAGAGGCATGAATGAGGGAAAAAAAAATGTTCTGTCAAAACTCTGAGCAAAAAGAGGGAATATTTCTTGGAACTGATTTAACTGTGACTTTTCACCTTATAAGTTACTGAGATTTAAATGTTATTTCCCTTTGACAGAAAGTGGGATGAAAAGCTATAATCTTGGAACACTTCTGGGAATGAAACTCGGTATTCTAAAATCATTTGTTTAACCCTCAGCAGAGTGTTTTGACTCTAATGCCGAAATTAATCAGCAGTTTTAATTATTGCCCTTTAAATTCTGTAAATGAAGCAGCTTGTGTTGGTGGAGCCGCTCCTCTTTAGCTGAGCCAGGATTTTCAGAGGTGCCTTTTGGAAACTTTTTAACCAGCTCCAGAGTTTGCCTTTGTGTGCCTGGTGTTTACCCAGGGCTCGGGCTGGGACCAGTGCTCGGGCTCTCTGCAGCTCTGGGTGCTGTTAGATGCAGATGAAAGGCTTGTTGCTGCCCCTGTGCCTGGCCCTGGTGCTCCCTGAATGGCTCTGGGTGCAGACACCCCCAGGAGCACCCAGGAGCTGCAGGTCTTTGCCCAGTGATGCCATTGCATCGCCCAAAGGAGGGGGCACAGCCCTGACCCCCCTGCGTCCTGCTGGCACGGGGGCAGGAGACTTCAATGGTGGCTGTTGTCCTGCCCACGGCCAGGCTCGCCTTAATATCCTGCAGAAAATAAAATAAAAATCAATTTATCGAGTGCAGGGCGGGCTGGAATCTGTGGCCTCTGTGTTTGCTCTAAAAAAACCTTTTTATTTCTCTTCCAAGTGTTTTTGGATGCTCCTCCACTCGGAATGTGGGAAATGAGGTTTGTGGGTGTCTCCCTCGGGCAGCATGAGCTGATTTTACACTCTTCTGGGCCCTGGCTGGCTTATTACGAGGTGTGATTTGCAGGTCTTCTCCCCACTGGCTCTTACAAGGAGAACTCAATTAAGAAGAGCTGCTGGTCGGTGGGTCTGGAAGAATAGGAAGGGTCTGCCCTGTGGATCTTGCTGTACATCGGGCAAATGGAGAGGTAGAATTAATTTAAACTGCACAAAATAGGTGTTCGTGAGAAGGATTCGGTGGATCTTGCTGTACACCGGGCAAATGGAGAGGTAGAATTAATTTAAACCACACAAAATAGGTGTTCATGAGAAGGATTCACTGCGAGGCTGCAATTATAAATGAAAAGACTCACTGGGTGCAAATAACAGTTCTTAAAATTAGATGCAGCCCCACACGTGCGTGGGGAGAGCACAGTTACCAGCCCGGGGCTGGTACAGGGAGGAAATAGGTGGGGAGAGCACAGTTACCAGCCCGGGGCTGAGATGGAGCAGGAACAGGGAGGAAATAGCGTAGGCATCTCCTAAAGAGAAACCACAGGGAAAAGCACCGGTTTTTCGGTCTCTTAGATTTAACTTTCAGCTGATGATTTATATGAATTAATAAAGGCAGAAGACAGGATTCAAGTAGTAAAATTTATGAGCTTCTGCTTCACAGCATGGGAGGAAGAAAGCTGGTCAGCTGTGTCGCTGCGAGGCTGCAATTATAAATGAAAAGACTCACTGGGTGCAAATAACAGTTCTTAAAATTAGGTGCAGCCCCACACGTGCGTGGGGAGAGCACAGTTACCAGCCCGGGGCTGAGATGGAGCAGGAACAGGGAGGAAATAGCGTAGGCATCTCCTAAAGAGAAACCACAGGGAAAAGCATGGTTTTTTCGGTCTCTTAAATTTAACTTTCAGCTGATGATTTGTATGAATTAATAAAGGCAGAAGACAGGATTCAAATAGTAAAATTTATGAGCTTCTGCTTCACAGCATGGGAGGAAGAAAGCTGGTCAGCTGTGTTAGAGTTCTACCAGGTGTTTGGATGGAGATCTCTGAGCTCTGGGTCAGATGATTGGGGCTGATGGCACCTTGTGTGGATGCGCTGGAAAATACCAGGAGAGATTTCTGGAAGGGTTTGATCCAAGGGACAGTGTCTCCTGGTCTGTCAGTGAAAGCCTTTACACTTGCAAGGCCTTTTAGCTTCAACGGGAAGGTGTCCAGGGAGGACAGCTGTTTGACACCAGAGCAGGCAGCCACACACCGGAGCTGAGTGCTCGGGTATAAAAACTGATAGAAAAGCTTAATCCCTGTTTCTGGGACAACTTGTGATTCCCATGTCTGGCCTGTACCCTTGGCTGGGAATCAGCAGGGACCTTCCCTCCCCTGGATGGAGCCAGGCCTGGGTGACTTCCAGCAGCAAGAGCTGCGGGTCCCTTGTGTGGCCACCACCGTGTGTGGGGAGGGGGATGGAGCTGGCACTTACATGCAGCACTGGGAGAGCGGGGCCAGGATGGAGATTTCATCATGGGAATGTCTCCCGAACCTGGGGGGTGAGCAGAGAGAGCAGCTTTAGTGCCTGCCCCCACCTCTCCCCTCCCCGTGTCCTCCCCCAGCCTCACCCTCTGGCGTTGTCCAGATGCAAGAGGAAGCCGTCGTCCCCAAACTTGGTGAACATCTCGTAGTGGTGACGGTCCATGTTGCCTGGCAAAGGGCAGACAGAGGATCAGAGTGTCCCTTCTGCTTCACCAAGGAATTTTCTAAATTACCCTACGTTTTCTTTCAGATCTGGGTGAAATACTCGTTGCCTTGCTGGGGGAGGTCATTTCCCCCTTCATCCTACCTATTAAGAAGTCAAATATGGCCATGTCGACGATGTTGAGCAGCCGGTTGCCGTTGCTGTAGGGGTAGATCTCCCTCACCGTGTCGCAGTAGAGCGGGTTCACTTCCCACCTGCAGGAGATGGAGGAGAAAGGGGAGATGCTCAGTGGCTGCTGCTGCCGTGTCCCAACAGCACCCCAGAGCCCTGAGGAGATGGGAAGGAGGAGGACTTCAATCTCCCTCCTTGTGCACGCAGGAGACTGGAAGTCAAACCCAGTCAATGCTCAGGCATTAACCATTATTAGATTAATTATGGGCAATCTCTGAGCCCTGTCCTTCCTCTGCCTGGCTGTACAATGTCTGTGTGTCTGTGTGTCTGTACCCTCCTCACTCTCCTTCCCACACACTCCCTGCCATGCAGATAATGGGAAGCAGCATCATTTACCCACTTACTCCTCTTTTCCATCAAACGAGTAGGAGCGGATCCATGGGTTTGGGATGGAGAGTCGTGGTGCCAGGTTGAGGGATGGCAGGAAGGCAGAGAGGGACCCTTCCAGGAGGTGAGGGTTCCCACACACCGCGTACTCCGTCTTGCACATGTACGGGCACTTGGCAAAGAAGCAAACGTTGCTGGCTGGGAGGAGAAGAGAGAGGAGAGCTGGGGAAGGAGCTACAGGAGACTCTGAGGTAGCCTGGACTGACCTCTTCCCCACGGCGTGGTGGTGACTGCACATACTGTGGTGTGTGTACCCACATCACGGGTGTGAAACTGCCAAATCAGGGACAAGACCTGGACTTTGGTGAACAGACAGACCTGGTCCCAGGCTAGGGGAAAAGGTGGGAAAAATGGGACAGGGGGGTAGGTCTGGCAGATGATTCCAGCTGGAGGCTGAGGGACACCTCTGCTCTAACCATGTCTTTGTGCACGTTTCACCCAAGAATTTAATTTCTGCCCAACAGCTCAAGTCCTGCTGACCCTGCCCTTCCACCCACCGTGGACCAACATGTCTAATCCCAGCTGGTGGCAGCCCAAGTGCTCGCCTACCTGGTGAGACGAAGAAGACGCTCTGCAGGATCTCGTTCTTGGTGACCTCCAGGATCTCCTTGGTGACATTGATCAACCTCCCAACTGTGGGCGGCACCCTCCGGAAATCCAGGATCCTGCACAGGAGGGACAGTGGCTCAGAGCTGCCGTGCCAAGGGACCTCACTGCCCAGGGTGGCTGCGTGGGACGGCAGATGCTGCCCTCGTCCCTACCATTGGTGAAACGGGGACCTTTTGATGATTGCACCCATGTGGTATTTTTTTTCTCCTAGCTTCATTCCAGCAAAAAGCCAGGATCATTTTACCCTCTGGACCAAAACGTGGCCGAGTTCAGATCTTGCTATTTTAGTAGCTACTGCTTGGAAATCTTTGATGTTCTCCAGGATTCATGTCTTCTCCCTGACTGGTCTCTCCCATCCCCTCGCTGGGTCTGTGGGGAGGCAGAGGAGCCCCTCAGGCCCTTCTCCCGTGGGGGGTTTGGCACAGGGCACAGAGCACAGACACCTTGAACCTGGTCCAGCGCGGCTGCGATGGGGGGAGGCCAGGAGGGATCACCCCCGCTCGGAGGAACTCACACCCAGCTGATTCATCTCAAATATTCTTAAAAAAAAATATAATCAGGCCTGGGGCAGAAAGGCAGGGATGGCAGAGGGTGGAAGAGCCGCTGTTGATTGCTGAGTCAGTAACGCAGCATGAACCAGCTCATGCCCTGCCTCGCTCCCGGGGCAGTGCCCAAGGACCAGCTCTGCTGCTGAGAACTGGGCACGAAACAGGATTTAGCCTGTTACTTATTGAGCAATGTTTAAAGGGGAAAAAAAACCCACAAGCCCAATGTTTGCTTTCATCTAGCATCTTTCAGCTCTAAAAACCACAAAGCGCTTCAGAAAAGCAGTCCGGCCTCATTTTTCCAGCTCCCGGTGGAGCCGGGATGCAGAGAGGGAAGGGGAGGGGAAGGGGAGTCGAGCAGAGTCGCTGAGGTGATGCAAGGGCAGAGCTGGGAGGGGAATTCAGCTCTCTTTGGAATCAGCTCGCTTCGTTTGAGCTACAGGACTCACGGCCTAGTAATTATCACACAAGTTGGGCTGGGGAGCTGGAGACCGGCTCCAGTGTCATCCTGAGAGATCCCCTCCCCTTGATGTTCAATGCTCAGCCCATGGAGGGGCAGAAGGCTGCTGCCCTCCTCTTCTACGAAGGGTATTTTTGATTTTTATTAAATACAAAGCCTGCTGGGAAGCGGTGCCGGGTTAATTGCTCGTTAGCTGAGGGCTTGAAACTGCGTCTCTGTTTATCTCAATCCAAACCGCGCTGTGATTGCTGATGGAGCGTGTGACTCCCTCCCCGGGAGCTCATCTTTGCACCTCGATGCACGTGTGTGTGGCCGTGTGACAAACACCCGACCCCTCTGCACCCTGGATGTCACCTGCACCCTGTTCTCCTGCAGCAGCCAAGGTGAAGCTGCCTCCTGGGCTTCAGCTGGGCGCCAGAGCCACCCCCTCCCCAGGTAAAGCAGCAGCTCCCAAAGGGTGCTGTGAAGCAATGGCTCATCTCGGGCCAAGCAGCTCTGCAGGGCTCAGGGGGGCTTTTCTCCTGCCCCAGCTGCCCGGGGGCAGAGGAGTGGGCGCTGGCAGGTCCCTACCTGTCCAGGTGGAAGGCGGCGATCTCGGCGTTGTGCCGCTGGAAGTCCACGAAGTAGAAGAAGTCCTCGGGTGTCTCCTCCTCACGTCTCTGCCTGGGGGAGAGCAAGGGGGCTGATGGGGCAGGGCAGGAGGCTGGGCACAGGGTGGTAGCACAGGGACAGTGCACCAGGGACAGCGGGTGTGTGGCCACAACGGTGCCAGGGCCAGGAGCCAAAGCGCCTGTGGCTGAGCTGGGAGCAGCACTCGTGCCGTGCCTCGGGGCTGGGCGGATGAGGGAGGCAGAAGGGCTGGTTGGGGCTTTAAAACCTTTTGTGCCAGAGTTTAGACCCGCTTAGGAAAGCATTTTGGGGGGGTACAACATTGGGGGACGCTAGAGGCCGTGCTGGACTTCTCAGGTCCTCGTGGGAGGCAGAGAAGAGCTCAGGTTTGATGCTCTCGTAGCCTTGAGACAGTAACACCACCAGCAGCTCATTTAATTTCATTTTCTGGCTCTCTCACAGCACACTCGTATGTGCAGCAGGTGAATTTGCCTGCTCAGTCGTGTATCACAGGGGAGGCCACAGCCATCCTGAGCCCCTGGATGTTCTCCATCTCCTCCTGGCCCTGCCTGGCACCGGGCAGAGGTGGAGAGGAACCGGTGGGAGAGGAGCTGGCTGCTTTCTGGATGAGCAAACCCTGGCCATCAGCACGCTGCCCTGCCCGTGCTCAGCGAGTGAAGTGAGGGGCAATAAATGTGAAGAGTCCCGCGGGGCTAGAAATAAGTCCAGAAGCAATTTAAAACTCCTGTTTGAGGTGACCGGGACCGATGGCTGCTTCTTGGAAATACTCCAGGGAACCCAAGGAGAAACAAGGTAAAACAAAGTCAGCTGGGGGAGAGGAGGAAATGGGCAGCCCCTGAGGGGAAGCTCTGGGGAGAACAAGTGTCCCAAGGTCCTTTGCCATCTGGCATCTGTGAACTGAGAAATTTCCAACACCAATAAATGTGAGAACACGGGTGTTTATCCACGTGTGGCTCGGGACAGAATGAGCAGCCAATAATAATGAGACCTTTTCAGCTGTCGAGGTAGCTGAGCGCAGGAGAGGGAAGATGTGGCTGTCCCTGCCAAGGATGCTCCTTGGTCCGTGGCTACGCAGGGCGGGGGGGTGCTGTGCTGCTGAGCCTTACCTCATGGGCTTGAACATGGCTTTCCCAAAGTCCTGGAACCTGAGGACCAGCTTCAGGTGCACACCGCTGGGCTTCACGACTTGGGGAGGGAAGGAAAGGGGCCGTTAGTCACCCGCCACCCGCCAGCCTCCCCCCGCAGCACCGCTTTGTGCTCGGCTGCCATCCTGCTTTCTGCCCTGGTGAGTACATCCCACCCCTCCTTCAGCTCCTCTCCTCCTCCTCCTCCTCCTCCCGTGGCTGCTTTTCCTCCCTTTCCCCTGGGCTGCAGATTTCCCTCCAGCACTTTTCCCAACAGCCATTTTTAGCGTCCTCTTGGGGACTTTTTCCTCCCCCCAGTAGAAACCAGTGGCATACTGGTGTCCCGGCACCCACATCCCACCCTCTGCTGGGGTGGGATTGGAGGGAGAAGGGCCTGGCATTGCCTGGCTCTGTGTTTCCCTTGCTGAGGTTGGGATGGAGGAGATGGGGCCTGGGGCTGAAGCGATGGGGTGTGTGGGGAGAGCGGGGCCCCGCTGCGTTTCACTCACTCTGGCTGCAGTCGCAGGCCCCCAGCAGCGCCTTCTCGTCCTGGCTGTAGTCTGTCAGGGCAGGAGGAGTGGTGAGACCCCGCCGGGCTGGGTCTCCTGCTGCTGATCCCCCTCCCAGCACAGGCTTTTTCCTCCCCCCAGTAGAAACCAGTGGCATACTGGTGTCCCGGCACCCACATCCCACCCTCTGCTGGGGTGGGATTGGAGGGAGAAGGGCCTGGCATTGCCTGGCTCTGTGTTTCCCTTGCTGAGGTTGGGATGGAGGAGATGGGGCCTGGGGCTGAAGCGATGGGGTGTGTGGGGAGAGCGGGGCCCCGCTGCGTTTCACTCACTCTGGCTGCAGTCGCAGGCCCCCAGCAGCGCCTTCTCGTCCTGGCTGTAGTCTGTCAGGGCAGGAGGAGTGGTGAGACCCCACCAGGCTGGCTCTCCTGCTGCTGACCCCCCTCCCAGCACGGGGCACGCAGCGCAGCACCGCTCGGGGTGCCCCAGCCCGGGTGGCACCGGTGCCTGGCGAGGGGTGCAGACCCCTCAGGGGAAACTGAGGCAGCTTGTTGGGATCAAACTGCCGTGTGACGGGTCCCAGCGTGGCTGGCACCAACGCGTGATGCATTAAGGACCACAGCCAGGTCCGTTCTCCCATCTCAAGGTGAGGGCACAGCAATTCCACAGCACAAAACCTGCTGGGAAGCTGGCACAGGGCTCAGAGCTTCCTCCAGCCAGCGACAGCCCCCACCTCCTTTGCAGAAGTGACCTGGTGGGGCTGGAGCCCCCCAGCCCCGTGCAGCTCCCAGTGTCTGTCCCCATCCCCATGGCAGGAGGGCACTTACCAGCACTGATGGTGGTGAGGTCCTGCATGTCCCGGAGCAGCCTGTCCACGGTGGGGCTGGAGCGGGGGTAGAGCCCGTCCCGGCTGATGCCCAGGTGGAACTGGAGCCAACTGGCCTCCGGCCGGAGCGGCAGCGGTGCCGCGGGGGAGGTCAGGTTCAGCTCCTCCCTGTAGAGCTTGTGTCTCCTGGAAGAGAGCAGAGATGAGGATGAGCCACGGGATGGAAGCCCTTTGCTCCGAGCCCGGGGGCTGTCGGGGAGTGGGGAGGGTGCTGGGGAGCAGAGCTGGGGGGCACGGGGTGGATGAGGACTCTGGGTGCTACCGAGGGGAAACTGAGGCAGGGAGCCATGGCTGAGATGGGCAAAGGTCCCACGGATTGTGTGCCTTCTTCCCGGGCAAAGCCCTGGGAAAGCAGCCTTGAGCGGGAAGGAGCCATGGCTGAGATGGGCAAAGGTCCCACAGATTGTGTGCCTTCTGCCCTGGGAAAGCAGCCTTGAGGGGGAACGCAAAGGACTCTGTTGTCTTCTCCTGGCCCCACCGGGACCAGCAGAGGTGTCAGGGCACGGCTGGAGCTAAACCACATCCCCAGCAACACAGGGACTGGCCAAGAGGTCACTTGTTCCACCCAACGGGGGACAGAGCATTGGTTTCTCATTAATGCTGGACAAGCTGTGTATGGTCCCAATAAAGGGAAAACGAAGTTCAGTTTGCACCGAAAGTGCCAAGATCCATCCATGAAAGAAAACAGGAGCTGGGGCTGATAACGAGCGGGGCATTCACCAGGGCTGGGATGGAGCAGCTGCAGAGGAAGGTGCACCGGGACCAGCAGAGGTGTCAGGGCACGGCTGGAGCTAAACCACATCCCCAGCAACACAGGGACTGGCCAAGAGGTCACTTGTTCCACCCAACGGGGGACAGAGCATTGGTTTCTCATTAATGCTGGACAAGCTGTGTACGGTCCCGATAAAGGGAAAACGAAGTTCAGTTTGCACCGAAAGTGCCAAGATCCATCCATGAAAGAAAACAGGAGCTGGGGCTGATAACGAGCGGGGCATTCACCAGGGCTGGGATGGAGCAGCTGCAGAGGGAGGTGCCTCGGGAGACCTAACTCTGGGAAAGAGCAGCATTTCCCTGCCTGCCTTTAGTTCTTCAGAATTTTTCCTAATTTTTAAAGTTTTGCCCAATGCAAACAAAACTAAAAGCAGCGAGGAGAAGGAGGCTGGGGGTTTTGGTTGGATTTTTTTTCCATCATCCTTTTCCACCTGAGCAGGTCAGTGTGGTTAGTCCGGTCTGACCATGAGCGAGGGACCTCCTGGTGGCGAGGGACACATTTTGGTAACGTCCTGGGAACAAATCTAGGCAGTGGTGAGGCAAAGAGTATCTGCAGGTCAGAGCAGCCCGTGCCCTCTCCCCGTTTGTTTGCCTTTCGGCTGGATCGGGGCAGCTCCGGCACGAAGTCCACGTGCACGTGGTCAGGAAGAAAAGTGTTGGAGAATTTCTCTCTGGGTCCGGCCCCTCGCTCAGGGCACGGGGAGAGGAGGCAGAGGCTCCCCTCAGGTCAGGGCATGGGGAGAGGAGGCAGAGGCTGCCCCCGAGCCGGGAGGAGGTGGACAGGGAGCGTGCAGAGACTCGTCAGCAGGTCTGGCTGTAGGAAGAAAAGTGTTGGAGAATTTCTCTCTGGGTCCAGCCCCTTGTTCAGGCCACGGGGAGAGGAGGCAGAGGCTGCCCCCGAGCCGGGAGGAGGTGGACAGGGAGCGTGCAGAGACTCGTCAGCAGGTCTGGCTGTGCACAAAGATGTGGCCCCAGGATGCCCTCGGCTCTGGTGGACGTGCCCCGACCTTCCAGCTGCTGCTGTGCCCCAGGTCACCCCTGGGCAAGTCTTTGAGGCACAACCTTAACCCCCAGCACATCCAGGGGTTGAGACCTCAGTGCAATTTAGAGACCCCAGTGCAATTGGGGAGGATGACTCAGGATTTGTCCCTAGGGAAGCTGCCCAAATATTGTACCGTATTTTCTCTCCTGCCTCCCATGCCCACAGGCTGCTCTCCCCGGGGTGGCAGTGAGCAATACATTACTGGTGGGGAAAAAAATGCAGTGGTTAAAGCAGGAGGAGGCAATTCCTGGCTGGAGGCTGTTTCCAGCCCAGCGCCCGCACGGTCCCTGCCCTGGACAAGCTGCTGCAGGGCCAGCGAGCCTCTTTCCAGCCTTTTAAACCCAAAACACAGATCCCTCTTCCTCCCCCTTTCCTTCAGGATCCCTGAAATATTTCCCTGTAAGAACAGAGCTCTGCAAAAGACGAAATGATATAAAAAAACGGGTTAATTTCTAACTTGCTATACACAGCCCCGGGGTTGCCCTCGCTCTGCAGGGCACGGGGTGACGCTGGGCACCGGCCACCGGTGTCCACTCGCCCTGTGCCTCCCCTGGCACGGAGCCGGGCACGGAGTCTGGGGTTTTGAAACTGCTCCTTCAAGGATAAAAATAAGCTTCAGAGTTTCTAAGGGTTTGTTTGGTTTTTTTTGGTTTTGAAGAGGTGTGGATGGTTTTTTTGCTGTTTCCTTCCTGTGTCTCCATCAGTCTCTCCAGCTGGTTCTCCATCCTGCAATCAAATTCCTGGTCCCAGCTGAAGTGCTGGGGAAAAGCCCGGGGCCGGGCAGCAGCCAGCGCCGAGGCAGGACACACCATGGGTACCCGAAACAGGCCCTCTCCTGGGGCTGCTCCATGAGCTGGTGTCCATCTGGCTGCAGCAATGAAGAGGGATGCTCTGCTGTAGGTGTGGGGTTAAGCTATGGCCCGTTCCCCTCAGGAGGAGCATCCTGCCCCTGGGAGGCTGCTTTCCCAACACCAGACCTACGTGTGGTGCAGAAATGGGCTGTCACCCAGGAGGAGAGGGTGGCCCGTGGGGAGACACTCAGCTCTGAGCTCACCCCACAGGCTGGGGGAGAAAGCCACGGGCTCCTGGGAAACATCTGTCTTGCTGCCCAAATCCTGATGTCTCCAGGAGGCATGGCCCAGCTTTGAGAAGATGCACCCGAGGGTGTCCCATGTCCCAAACCCACTGCCCGTGGACTTCAAGTGATGTGAAGAAGGACTCGATGTGCTCCAGACTGACCCAGGCACAGGGTGAACCTCCCAGGGGCTCCAGGCCATGGAGGTCATTCTTGGGTTCCTTCCATTACCACTTCCCATCGCCTCCTCCTGTGAATTCCACCCGAAACCGGGACTGGGCGAGTCCCACAGAAAGAAGAGGAATCTGCATCCAAGTGGAGAAAGTGGGAGCTTGGAAATCTTGTCCTCATGGTCCAGCAAACAGCACGTGGGTGGCGGGAGGAGCAGGAGCCAGGTCTGATGCTGGAAACCAAACCTGGGCAGCAAGAAGTGCCAGGACAGGGACCTTTGTGGTGGTGCCCAGGAGATGCTGCTGTCCTCCTGCAGGCTGGCACCATCCCCGTCCCATGGAGGGGACAGCGAGACGATGCAGTGAGCTCCACGTGCTGGAAACTTCTGCCTGGAGACACCACAGTGACCTGCTCCAGCACCACGTCACCAGGGCCACCCGTGTTGGATCCAAATTTGTGTGTGAAGGTAGGAGCCGGTGGGGAGCGGGGGGACACTTGGCCACAGCCCTGCTGCACGGGGGTCAGTGGGGGGGTCGGGGTGTGAAGCCTCAGGCTGAGGGTCACTGTCCCCGTGGGGCAGGGGCTGTGGGGTTAGTGACAGTCCCACCCCAGGGGCAGGAGGAGCTGCTGGTGCTGGGGGAGGCAGGAGAGGGCTCTGTGCTGGGAGTCCCTTTCCCTCCAGAAGCAAAAGCCTCTGCAGCTCTTCTTGCAGAGAAGGCAGCAGAGGGAAGAGCAGAGGGGCTGAATGGGGGGCAGCACCCCAACACCCCCACCCTGGGGGCTGCGGTTGTCACCCCCCCTGAGGGCTGACAGACCCAGGGAACAGCTTTGGGGTTCAGCGCCCGGGGCTGGCCCCCCTTCTGCCCCGAGCTGAAAGGGTGACACGGAGCAAAGGGGGTGTTACCCCCAGGAGGACCCAGCTCACAGGGTCTCACCCCGTGCCCCCACACCCACCCCTCCCCTCCCCTGGGGGTCTTACCGTGGAGCAGGAGGCACCCCGGGAAGCCCCCTCCCAGCACAGCCCCCCCTGCTCAGCCCTGCCCGTCCGTGGGGTGCTGGTTGTTGGGGGGTGATGGGGAGGATGGTGGGGCAGGGAGCCAGGAACAAGCCAGGCTGGGGATGCCAGGGGGTACCCGGGGGGACAAGCCCAGGCTGGGGGTGCTTAGGCAGGGGTGCCTGAGAGAGCTGCCCAGAAAGGGGGTGTCTGTGGGGCACCTGTGCAGGAGGGGGTGCTTGGTGGGTACCTGTGCCTGGGCTGCTCATGCAGGGGGTGCCCAGGAGATGGTGAGGCAGAAGGTACCCGTGCAGGGGGTGCCCAGCAGTTTGCTTGTTGGTGAGGGTGTGCTTGGGCTGGTGCCCGGGAGATGCTCGTGAAGGGGGCACCTGGAGAGGGGGGTGCCCGGTGGGTACCTGTGCTTGGGAGGATCGTTCAAGGGGTGACTGGTGGGTGCCCGGGGAGATGCCCCGGCGGGGGGTACCTGTGCTTGGGCTGCTCGTGGAGGGGGTGCCCGTGCAGGGGGTATCCAGGAAGGGGGTGCCCAGGAGATGTCTATGCAGGGGGTGTCCGGGCAGGGGGTGCCCAGGAGATGCTCGGGAAGGGGTGCCCGGGGAGGGAGTGCTCGGAGGGCACCCATGCAGGGGGTGCCCGGGAGATGCTCGGGGAGGGAGATGCCCCGGGAGGGGGGTGCCCGGGAGATGCCCCGGGAGGGAGATGCCCCGGGAGGGGGGTGCCCGGGAGATGCCCCGGGAGGGAGATGCCCCGGGAGGGGGGTGCCCGGGAGATGCCCGGGAAGGGGGTGCCCGGGCGG